TCACAGCAAGCCTAATATTATCATTGCAAAATTAATCACAGATAGCTATAGCATCAAACAAAAGTAATAAACAAAAAATAAAAATAAAAAATGCATACAAAAAAAACACAAGACTAGTTAACCAATACATACGAGGCTAACTGTTCAAGTAATTTGAAGTATTTTTCTCGGTGAAAAATCAATAAAAGCCACTGCACTCAATCTGAAAAACAAACGGTGATTCAGGGGGGATGACAACATCCTAAACCATAATAAGGATTTTACCTTTGTCATCCCAGACAATGCTACACTGGGTGCAGTGATCCATGTCGTATGATAAGGATTGAAATGGGAGCTGTCTTGAGATGAAGTTGCCAATGATTGCCCAGAAACCTCAGTTGAACATGTCTACCTGATGGCTCATATGCTGCCATATAGAGAGACGTCAACTTATGTGATAGTGCGTACCTGCAATTCAGAAGAAGAAAATCTTCACATAGAAGACAATTCCATTTTGATGTAGCTTCCAGAAGAAAAGAGGAGGAAACATACATTTGTTGTTTCAAGCGTAAAATAAATTAAGTACGTCGATGCTGTTAATAAGAAATATTTGGCTCAACAAACTTATTAAAGTTGAAGTCAGCCAAAACTAACAAGTGAGGCAAAACTTACGAAAGCTTGGAGAAATTCAGTGTCACTTCTCAACCCTATCATTTCAGCAATCTGGTGAGTAATCTTTAACACTATCAATAATCATCACATCATCTGAACTGAAAGAAATTAGATTTAGCAACATTAGCCTATAAAATTTGCAAGAGTAAACATTATGGAAAGCAGATGTGCAAAGCTTCATAGTTACCTAACAAAAGAAGGTGAATATATGTTTTATATGAAATATGCTTCCACATACAGATGGATATACTTTCCACACACACACAAAACATTTTTTCCTTAAAAAATAAAATGGACACGAGAAACTAAATCAACGGAGATTAATCTATGAAATCAAGAAAATTTATCAAATAACAATTGTAATAACTTAAAAATCAACAAAATAACATGAAAAAGGATTCTTGCCCAGTCAAGACAATTTTCACAGTCAAAACAAATTGTTTGACCATTACAGAAGGGAACCCCCCCAAAAGGAAAAGTTCGTTTTGAGGAAGTCAGAAAAATATTTACTAAAATCATGTAATAAAAAAGGCAACTGAACATAGCTTCAGTCACATATCCTACCATATAATTTCACTGCGGCCTTTACACTGCACACACACACACTCTCTCTGAAAATGCAGAAAGTATATTCGAAAAAGAAACTTACTTTAAGATCTAATAGAAGAGGCACCTTCATTCCATCTCACGTTCTTTCAAGTAATCAGAAAATGCCTACAAATATTAGTTCCATTCAAAAGATGTAAGAACTTCCAATCTAAAAAATGCATAAACATATAGTAAGTCAAATCAATGCATTTCCGGTTTCCTAAAGAAGATCGAAGCAAATATTAATAATTTAACCACATATTCCATCCAAGTTGAGGTAATTAATTGAAAAAACAACTATCACTCCATTTATCTATTTGATAGAATTTCTGTTAGTAAAACACATACAAGTTGAGGAGAGAGAGAGAGAGACTGATTTTAGTGCCATAGCCAATCAATTACTTGATTGTTCGTACATCGGCTCAGACATTGATTTTTACCGCACAACAGAGCACACATATGAGACACAGAGTAGCATGAACGCTTGAATAACTATTACAGAAAGTGTAGATTCACTATTAGATGCAGAAAATTCACATTCTGATATGAAAAAAAATTGACTAAATGTCGAAAGGTGTTTGCATGAAATGATGTTGAGATTCATAGGTATGAAATTGAATCTGTTACCTCGTGCAATTGAATTCACGGAAATGAATCATAGATGGAATAAAAATCAATTTCGACGTCGGGAATGTCAGCAATGATGGGCCAGTACTTTCCTTTGTTCCTCAAACACCGTTTCTTAATAAGTGGGCAGTCTCGAATCCAAAGGCTCGAAAGCTTTTGAAGCTGGTCTTCCAAAGGCAATGCCACAAGCTTTGGGCATCTATAGATGCGTAGTTGTTGGAGAGAGGTGAGGTTTTGGAAGTCCTTTGATAGGGTTGTCAGATTTGGCAGGTCAACCAACTCCAACTGAATTAGAGATGGAGGAAGCACACATTGTTCTTTGTCAGCATTGTTAGTGAAGGAAACCAGCTTCGGACATCCACCAAAACAGAAGTTTTTAAGAGAGGTGAGTTTGTGTAGGTTCCACTCCCCCAGGGGCTTTAGTTTCCTCCCGCAATCTTTGATATCAAGGTGAGACAGATTTGGGGGACTATTTTCTTGGGAAAAGATTTCCATTAATGAAGAACAATAATTCACCTCCAGGTACAAAAGGGACCAAAGTAGTTCCATCCTATCGGGTAAGGACTTGAGATGTTGACAACCTCTTAAATTTAGTATTTTTAAATTTGGCGTGGGCAAGCCGCCATGTGGAAAATACTCTAGACCATCACAAGACCATATGTATAGTTCAGTGAGACTTCCGTAATTGTGGCCGGAGCCTAGTAAATTTGTTAAATTCAAATTCACCCAATGCTTAACAAAAAGAGATGAGAGTGAGGTGCTGCAATCCTGTAGGTTCATCATTGTCTTCAAAGATGGACACTCTCTGATAAATACCTCCTCAAGACAAGATATTTTAGTAGGCAACCACTCTAGAGCTCTGCATTGTTCTACTGTAAGTGTCCTAAGATCAGGAAGAACATCAATCTCTTGAAGGGACAATAGCGAAGGACAACTTTCAACAACTACTTTTCTTAGGTTGACTAGGTTTCGTGCAGTACTATCACTTGGAAATAGAGTCTCAAGATCATCACATCCAATAACTTCAAAACTTTCAAGTTTAAAAGGAAACTGTAAAAATGCATTGATAACTGAAGTTAATCCAAAAATTCTAGTCAATCGTATTTGGGTTAAAGATTCCAAATTCTGCATATGATTTAGGACCACCTCATTACACTCTGTAGCTTCTAATTCACAAAGGGAAGGCAGTAAGAGATTTGGAAGCCTCACCAATTTTGAACAACAACTTATCTTCAATTTGCGTAGCTGAGAAAGTTCGATAACACCTTCTATTCCAAGCCATTCCTCCCAGTTACACATGTCCTCAAAAGTCAGACTAATGAGTGATGGAAAAGGTAATTCTCCATGGCCTCTATTTCCATAAAATTCAGCTCCAATCAATTTCACTTGACGAATGCCTCGAATGCTCAAGTCTCTTAGCAAAGGTAGTTGCCCTAATGGTGGCAAAGTTACGCAATTTTCACAAAATTCGAAGCTTACCTTTGCTAACTTAAGGAATGCTGAATCTCCAATCCAATTAGAGAAATTCATACCCCCGAAATACTTAATTTCAAGTGTTGATAAGTTTTCATGGGGCTTTAATGCATTAAGCACATCCAATTCAAAGAATTTATTCCGGGAATCATCAAAGACTTCATTCCATTGCAGCCTTATTTTGTTAAGGCCTGGCTTATCCATTAGCCTCGCATCCATTGCTTCTTGAACATTCACAACATTCTGCAATTCCTCGATAGAAATTTCACCTTGTAGAAATGATAAATTGCCCAAGTCTTTTAACCCCATTCCTTTACTTTCACTTGCAGTCATCTTAGTTAACGTTCGCAAACTTGTTAGTTGAGCAATTCCATGAGGCATTTCATGTAATTTAGGAGTAGCTGCAATGTCCAGATGCCGAAGATTAATAAGATTTTCCATGCTTGTGGGTAATTTGGTAAGATTCCAACAACCTCTTATAATCAACACTTGTAAGTTGATAAGGGTGCTCACAGATTCAGGCAACCACTTCAGTAAAGTTTGAGCAAGGCCTAGGTATCGTAGATGTCTTAAATCACCAATAGAATCTGGCAACTCATAAATTGAATAACCATTCAAGGATAGCACTCTTAAGCAGTACAAATTTGGTAATAGGTGAAGCAAAATTCTTTGTGATATGTAATTTGAATACGCATCAACAGGTAGTGACAAAAGAGTTCTCAATTTTTTAACTTTGTTGAGAAAACTAAATCTAGGATAAGTGTCATACCCAGTGCGCTTGAATGACAAGTGATGGACCTTTTGAGAAATCTTACTAGGAAGATTTTCCTTGAGGGCATCATCCATCCTCAAACATCTATCACCAGCAACTAACTTAGCTAGATCATTAAAGAGATCGTGCATCACAAAGCATGAAGAATTGGTACTTGATTGTTGGAAGAATGATCTATCCAACAGTTCATCAAAATATTGACTACCTACATCTTCAATTAACCTATCTTTCACAAATTCCTGCACAAGACCTTCCGCCATCCAAAAGTGCACTAGATGCAACTTTTCAAACATATAGTCCTTGGGAAAGAGCGCACAGTAAGCAAAGCATCTTTTCAATTCCGGACGAAGATAGTGATAACTCAGTTTTAGAGCAGGAGGAATTTCACTCTTTTCTTCATCCATCCAGATCTCACTTTTCAACACCTCTTCCCATTCTTCACGACCTGCTGTGTTGCAAAGAACTCTCCCAAGGGCCTTTACTGCCAGGGGCAACATCTTACATCTTCTTACCATAGACTTGCCAATCTCTATTAAATCTGGATGTCGGTCAAAAGTTTTAGCTCCAAATGCATGTCGAGCTAACAATGATAATGCATCGCCCTCTGATAACTGATTCAGAAGGTATGCTGGAATTCCAGACATGATTTTGGCCACTCTTTCTTGTCGAGTGGTAATGATGATTGTGCTTCCAGGTTTTCCAGCAAGAAAAGGACGGCGTAGGATGTCCCAATCGTCATAATATTCATTCCATACATCATCTAAAACTACCAGAAATTTCTTGTTTGAAAGGATATCCTTTAGTTTGCTCTGAAGTGTGGGAAAATCTTCATAATCACACCTTTCACCAGAAACTAACTCAAGAACGCATTTTGTTACTCTTACAGCATCAAATTCAACTGAAACGCAAACCCATGCCTTCAGATCAAACTTGTCCTTCAATCTTTCATCATTATATACTAGTTGGACAAGAGTTGTTTTGCCGACACCTCCCATGCCAATAATTGGTACCACAGTTATTTGACTATCATTTGATTCAACACCAACTAAGATTTTGAGTATTTGCTCTCTGTCCTTTGCTCTTCCATAAACTTCTGATTCTGCGATAAACGAAGTTGTTGGAACTCTTGCATAAGTTCGCAATCTTTCAAAAGGCCTCACCCACACATTCTCCCCTAAACTGAGAACTTCGATATTTTTGGATATATCTTCCAATAGAAAACTAATTTCTTTTAGCTTGGAAGCAATCCGGCGATTAAACATGAAATCAATGTAAGAAAGATTATTGGGGATGAGCCATTTTGCCATATTGGAGCTACCTTTGTTTTTCCTTAATTTGCGCTGCAAAGCTTCAGTATTCAACTCATCCACGAAGTCTTCAAGATCATAAGCCAAATCTTCCAGATTGTTCAGCCACTCTTTCACAGGTTGGCTTGTTATTTGCCTGTTTTCAGCATCAGTAAGCACAGCCTGGATCATCAACAAAGTTCTACGCCATCCTTTCATCTGGGCATCTATTCCAATGCGACGCAGAAATTTCAGCAGCTCACCAGAGGCCAGCTTCTCAAGCAAAGCAGAGAGAATTGGATCTAGAGAAACTTCGACGATAGCCATTGTTATCTTTTTTTGTAAGACAGGAAGCAGGAGATCAAAGAGATGAATGAAAGAGAGAATGAAAGTCGACTACTGGTCAATGGACTCAATTATACAACAAAATATGCACATATTAGTTTGGGAAAATTTCGCCATTCATACCAATCTATAGAGGTAGCTGCAATTTCATCCAAATGCAATTTTGTTTATGAATAGTAACCCCAAAAAATAGATCTAAATGAGCACTAAGTCCTTTCCATCATAGTCTATCCATTTCACTCTTCAAAAGATAGTTTTTTTTTTTAAATTTAAATAATTATTATACTCTCAGTTTTATTATTAGACACAATTTATCAAATTTTTTATAAATAAAACTTTAAATATTTATAATATTTGGCATATTAAATTAAATTAAGCTTATGCTTGATAGAGATTAAAATCAGTTTTTTCGTAGGTTTTGATAGAAGTTGATGAAATGTGTTGTTAAAAAGTTTTCAGTTCCATGAACGTGTGATTAAAATTAATTAATGACTTTGATTTAAGATTTTTATTGGATTTTAAATCAAACCAAATCAGGTTTAAACTCAATAGATCGAAACAATGATATGATTTTAACTTTAATCATATTTCACAGATAAATCGTTCTTTTAAAATAATGAGTTGCAGTTAATAGTGATTGCTTGTAAACTGGACGGCGCCCCATATATTGTGATGTTGGTTGATGATTAAGTAAATAAAAATAAATAAATTGAACAAGGACTACATTGTAAGTACTTGTATTTGTTCAAGATGAAAGGTGCAATTTTCTCAATTATCTTTATCAGTGGCAGAAATGCCATCTATGTTGAGGACTACATTTTTTTATAATAAAAAATTCGAAAATGCCTCTTGTCCAGGCAAAAAAAGGCCAAAAAATAGGGTGCCGAGGTGTTTCCACCTCGACCGTCGAATCTGAAAAAAAAAATGTATGGGATCTGGGGGCTGAGGGATGCCACCTCAGCCCCCTATTTTTTACCCTGTTTCTGAGCCTGGCGCAGAAGCAGAACTCTAAAAAATTAGGCAACTCCGTCGGATTAGTTAACTTTTTGTGCTTTTCTATTCCCAATGAAATTAGTTTAATATTATTTTGAGGCGCACTGTATATTTTATATTTATTATCACAACTTGAGAAATCTCAAATGATCTGCATTTGGACATATTCATTTGTAGTCGAAGATGCGTTTTGTCGTATTCTATATTAATTATTGAAATGGACATGTAAGTCCCTGAGAAACCTAAAGGTTCAATACCAACTTAATAAGGAAAAAGTTATTATTAAGCCATGTTTGAACCCTATTTTTTTGGGAATAATGCATTTTAAAATAATAATTTTTTTGGAGTATATATGATTAAAAAAGAAGATTTTTTTTATTAAATTTACCTGTAAAATTATTTTATGAGAAAATATGCCATTGAAAATGAGTGTTGAGAACAATGAAGCTCAAACAAGGGTTAAGTATTTGACTAAGCTCGTTTTTTAAAAATTCAATTTTTTACAAACTCATTTTTTATACATTCTCAATAAAATGTAAACTCAAAAATTTTCTCACTTTTTAACTACACATATTTTTAAAAAATACTATTACAAAACTCAATTTTCAAAAAAAAAAAAAAAAAAAAAAGGACTCATACAATGTCTAAATAATAAGAATAACAAGTTATAATTTTATTGATAGTTTTTAAATTTGTCTAAATTCTTTTCTAGAAAGAAATTGAAACATATTGAGACTCAATTTGCTTATAATTATTCATATTTCAATCACTATTATTTACTAAAATTCATCTATATATTTTTCAAGGTAGAAATTACGTGACTGCTAAGTTATGTGACATATTGTAGACATCAAATAAATAAATAAAACAATTGAATGGACCAGGTTGATATCTAAATAATTAGCCCATTTAAATCTACTGAAATACCTAGAAGATCAAAGTCTTTTTGAAATTCAAGCAAATCTAAAAAGGTCCAAGTCATCTTCAAATCAAAACAAATTCAAGTTCTAGTCCCGAGGTTGAAGTCTAAGTGTCAAACAAGTTAAGTTCTTCACAAATCAAGTCTTCAACAAATCTTGAAGTCCAAGATTCAAGCCATGTGGCCATACATCTTCAAATATTTAGATCATCAATCAGAGGATTGTGTACTTGTTGCTAACATAAGAAGATCAACATCTACTTTTATTTATCAAAAATACAATTTGTGACTATTTCTATATTTTAATACATGAAATATGTATGATAAATTTCTTTTCATGTCCAGAGGAACTTTCTTGCACTCTCCTCTTTTAATCTCAGAATTTTCAAATTTCAAACCACTATATCAACAATGACAAACGAAAAGGGGAAGGAAACTATGACCCTTCTTGAGGATACACTTGTTGAACTCTTCTAGGCGATCAGAGCCCAAACAAAATTTGAAAAATCCCAACTGGTTTCCACTGAGGAGGTTCTCAAGTAAAGGTAAAATTAAAATTGCTTCCAAGAAGCCGGGCTCTTGTTTGACAGAATATATCAAAGTTTGGTGAAAAACTCTCATTCTGGTTCATCTGTTGTGGCAAGTCCATGTCTAGATCATCTCATGCCACTTTTCTGCGAAATGGGGAGACTACATTTCTTATGAAGAGTCACTCGAGCTAGTGATGGTCACGGAAGCGACATTGGGCACATGCACGGAATCACTCGATCCAGCGATGACTGTTAGCCATTGAAAAGTTAACAAAGTCATTAGATGACAAAGATGCACAGATTGTTGCACTCATGCAATGGCTGGAGTTGCAAAATCTGTTGGTGGAAGGCAATATAGAAAATGCAGGGTCGTCAAAAACTAAAGATTTAGAAGTTCAAGAACACCAACAAAGATATCTAGGGTTTTACTTAATATTTCTTGTTCATTTTATGTTTCAAAAAGAAATTTCACGATACAGATGACATCATTCGTCCATCTTTTGTCCTCGATTCATTCCCGATATGATCTAAAACATGGTGGCATGAGCTTATATGTTCAGAATCATCGTTGAGTGGCACGATATGATCCAATTGTTACAAGTAGTATTGTAAAGTTCAAAGGTCATTGATGTGTGCGCACAGGTCACAAAGTTTAGGTCATAAGTCACAAATTTATGCGCGTAGGTTACAAATTACATATTCGTATGCACTGGTCACAACTTCAGGTGCACAGGCCATTGGTCACATATTTGTGTGAACATGTCACAGGTCACAACTTTCTGTGCACACATCACAAGACACATATTATTGAGCACAAGTCACAAATTTGTGTGCATATGTACCAAGGCATGGATTTGGTATGCACAGGTTATAGGTCACGGATGTATGTGAACAGGTCACATGTCACATATTTGTGTACGTGGGTCACAGGTCACATCTTTGAGCGCAGAGTTCACAATTACATCTGTATGAGGGCACATTGCACAAATCACAACTCATTTTGTTCAAGTCACGTGTTAATGTTGATGAACTTTCTTTCTTATTTGACAGCACATTAACGTATATTTTTATTATCTACGACAATTTGCAATAAAAAGTCGGGACTCCATATTGAGTACTACGACAACTGACTCTTTGTTTCAGGCTAAGATAAAAAAAAAATTCCCAATTTACAAAAGAGCTAAACGTGATAATGACAAATTTATATATTGTTGAAGTTGCTACAGGTAGTCGATTAGAATTTGGTCATCCTTAGGCTGAAGTTGAATGTGTTTTTGTCAATTCTGTCCACGAATTGTGCATATTGGATGCTTTGTTGTCTGGACATAAGATAACATAAATTATACGTATTCAATTCAAGCTACAGACGTACCAATAACAAATGGTAAATGTTGGGATTGAAAAATTTGCAAGAATTATCTCACATTTAATAACTAGTTTGGACATCTGGAAAAGAACGTCTACTGAACCGAATAAAAATCCAATTGGTATGACAGTATTGATGCTGATAATATTCCACATCAATAGAATGAGTACATTTGTGACTTCGTTTTGTTCACAAGTTTTATATTATACTTATACTATCAATTTTGATATGCTGCTTTATGATTTGTTTTTGATTAAGAATGCAGAATAGATGCTTCATAGCAACATGAAGTCCATGTCGATGACGTTTGGTGCTAGCCGAGCAAGGTTTGAGATTATTACACAACTCTTTCAACATAAGGAGTTCAAGAAGGTGACAAAGCTGGTGAAGCCAAAGGAAGAGAGCATTGAAGTAGAGTGATTGTAGAATCTTAGTTTAATGATTAATAGTTGTTCAATGTTTATGAATATTAGAAACAGGATACCTAAATATTTTGAATCATTTATGTTAATGCAATAGATTGAAAGTTCAATTGTTCACGTGTCTTTCGATTTGTTACTAGTTTTACAAATGTTTTAATAATATTATCGACATGCCACAATTCTCTTATTTTATTGTACATTATATAAATCATTGGTCAAATATCTGCGTGCTAATGTCAATTTACATGTATTTGTGTATAGGTCACAGCTAACATAGTTGTGTCATAGATTTCTGCGCATAAGTCACATGTCACATATTTGTGCACACAAGTTATAGGTCATAGACATGTATGCATAGGTCACATGTCACATATCTATCCGCACAGGTCACATTTTTTTTATATAGGTCACAGGTGACATGGTTGTGTGTCATAGGTCATTTATCACATACTTGTGCTCACAGGTCACAGGTTACATAGTTGTGTATTACAAGTCACATACTTCTATGTATAGTTCACAGGTCATAGCTTTGTGTGCACGAGTCATATGTCATAAAGTTGAGTGTGCCAATCACACATCACGATATTGTGTGGACATGTTACATGTCACAAATTCATGGGCATAGACCACATGTCACATTTTTATAGGTCACAAGTATCATCTCTAGCAGGTCACTGATTTTATAATATCGATAGTATGTCTCATTTAGTTTATATTTTAGATAGCAATAGCAAGTTACATTTCTTAGGTTAACATTTCACTGTTTAATAACTGAGATCATAAGTCACTGTGTGCAGGACACAAATCATAAATAGATCATAAATCACATTT